GTTTGTTTACTTGTTAGTGTGTATAATTTACAAGATTGGCTCTGTGTTGTTTAGCCCTTTTTTGTCTGTTTTCTTTACTTCTAGATACTACATCACAAGGGCAAAGCTGGTTTCTAAAATAGCAAAATATCCACATGTGGTAAGTAAATTTTATCTAAAAACAATTAAAGCACAAATTAAAAGGTACTGATAGTGCTGAAGAATCCCTCTTGGTACACAAGAGTAATCAGCCAATCTGCTGGAGGTATAAACTCAAATGCATTAAAATCACATTGAAATCTACCGGTCTCCTGTATTGCATTCTAAGCGGAGACAGGGAATCTGTAAAGTTACGAGACCGCAGAGAACACCGCTATCTGCTAGCCTTGAGCCTACCACACCTGTTAACCGAATTCAGCCCACTAAGAAACTTGCCCCACAAGCTGAACCTACTTTGGGAATTCAATGTTGATCTATTACAGGCCATATTTTGAAGTTTGGTAGTAAGCTGATCATAGCAAACCTATACTTTTATAAAAAGTATCTATGTCTGTCAAGATCTGACAAGTTAAAGTCTTCAAGATTTCAGTCCTGGATGATTGGCAACTGTTGTGGTCACAGGTGGTAACAGCAAGTGTGTTTTAACTACAGCAAACACTTCTTGAGCAGCTACTTAATTGCTTTTGTCAGAAATACAACAGATGAGCAACTATCTGTTTACAGTACAGCTAGACAAACTGATGTTGTTTTTGATAATGAAGTCAGTCAATATATAAGCCTTTTTCCACAATATATCGAGATATTTAAAACTGATTTCCCCAAATTCCTGTCTTCTTTACCAGGCTCATTTAAAAAAATAATAATAATAATTCTGTTAACTCTGTGTGACAAATACATTGCATTTCCCGTGACTGCTTCACAATAAAAGTTTCTCACCCACCCACTTATTTCCTCAGTTAAAAGTTTTTAATGTGTTAATTTGAATTGCACAGTGTGTACAGTGAGAGTGAGTGAAAAGTAAATGGTAAGGCCAATTTCAGTAATATAAAATTAGCATGCTGCCATGACTTATCTTTAAGGACTATAACATTAAGTCTGCCAGTACTGGTTTCTGCAAGCAACCAAACATTCAACTGAAGCCAACTGTTGGTGGCATAATATGAAAAATTTAATTTAGCAGGTTACTCTTTCCAAAAAAAAAGTGGACCTTTTTGATGTTGACTGTGAGATTGTGGCTAGCTAACACATTTAAGTGAAGATATAGAATGAATACTTCAGCTTCTGTCAGGACATCTGTATTTGCATGCACCAGGGTGAGTTATAACAACAACAAAAACCCTGGTTCCCAGCTAAACTCAGATAGCTAAGGTTGAAAAAGGAGGAGGCGTTTAGGAGTGGACACCCAACCGGGATTAAGAAGCCAAAGCACAGGTTTAGCAAGGCAGAGCGAGAGACTAAACGACTGAACTCAGGGCTTCAGACAGATCACGGTAAACCTAAAGCCTCCCACTCCTTTTAACGACTCTCGCCTGGCCAATGAACCAGTTGTACTGTTGCATTGAGAGTCAATGGTCAGTCCTTACACCATCCCCCATCACCCCACCGTTCAGCTTCCTGCGGCAGCTGAACAAGTTCAGTCTGCCAAAGACAATGATGGTGCACTTCTACACCGCAATCATTGAGTCCATCCTCATCTCCTCCATCGCCATCTCGTACGCTGCTGTCACTGCAAGGGACAATGGCAGGCTGCAGCATATCATCCGCTCCGGCGAGAAGGCGATAGGCTGCAATATTCCGTCCCTCCATGACTTGTATTGCCTCTAGGACCCTTAGGCAAGCAGGAAAGATTGCGGTCGACCCCTCCATATATTCTGTCAATTTCATATTTTTAGAAATCTTTGTTTATAAAGGTTTGTTTACTGTTGTTGCACACCTACTTGCCAAAACAAATTCCTTGTATGTGTAAAAACAACTTGGCAATATATCCGATTCTGATACATTTATGTTTTTATTTCAGGAGGACTATCGGCGCACAGTAACCGAGATTGATGAGAAGGAATACATCAGTCTGAAGATCATAGTTTCGGAGCTCAGAAATCAATACGTATGTCATGATTTTTTTATTATTTATTCATTAAAGGTTATTTTAAACCAGCATACACATGAGAAGTATTTTCACATTTTGCTGTATTTTCCACATGATCATGGTGTCTTTTTATTGTTGTTCTTTTTCTGTGAAGGTAACATTACATGACATGATCCTGAAGAACATTGAGAAGATCAAGAGGCCTCGAAGCAGTAATTCTGACGCATTGTACTGATGTTCATCCAGCCATCTCAGCCTCCATCTCCCACCTCCACCCCTGTCTCCCTGCCATGCCTGTTGAGCTATAGTAGCCTGACACTGGTCCACAGGACTACATCTAGACATTCACCTACTTCAGTACAATCAATACCGCCCAGTACGAAAACATAGCTTCCATAGATGGACTCAACGCACATGGTTTTTGTTTTAATTGTAAAATATTTTTCTTATTTCAAACCATTTGAAGGAAAATGGAGAGATAGATCATAGACAACAAAAAGCGCTATGTATTTTTTCATTTTAATTAAACATTTTGTCCTCAGATCTTGGTGAAATTGCTTCATTTATAGCTCTTAAGAAACATTCAGAGCGAAGTGGTTTGTTTCATGCCTACTGCTTCACTGAATGCACTTATTTATTAGGGTCCTACTGCATCCGGAGGATGGTTTTATAGGATATGCGCCACAAAATAAGTTTTTTTTTTTTTTTTTTTTTCTCTGAATGTTACCTTACAGTTTAGTCGTAACAAATATGTATACTACGCAGGTTTTAGGTCCACAGGCTTATTGGTTTTCAGTGAAAATGCATAAGTCACCAAAGCATCTCTTATGTCGAGGCATTGATTCTATTGAATAAACAAGTTTTTGATAAAATTATTTGTTGTTATTTTGTTTTGCCATGTTTGTGTATCAACAGACTTAACAGCTAAACTGAAAGGGAGACGCAATGCTGAAGTACCTTACACTCAACTAATGTAATTGTCAAGATATACAAAGTACATTTACTCAAATACTTAACAATTGTTATGTACTTGAGTATTTTTTATTTGATGCCATTTTAGTACTTTGATGCCAAATTAGTACTTTTAGCAGATTAATTTCATTAAAGCTGGGCTAGGCAATTTATTTCAGAAGCATTTTTGTTACATTTGTTGAAATCATGTTTACATCCAGACAGCAGTCAAAACATCAAATGCTCTGACAAAACTGAAAAGAAATCGGGTATCTCAGACTTTTGCAGGTAATAAGCACGGCCAATGATTTCATTCGGTCTGCATGGAATGAGTAGCTGGCCTACCTACCTGCACGCACTGTGACCGTGCACTCTGCACATGAAAATGTGTTTTGGGGGAGTGGCTTTGGAGGGAGGTGCTGGGATTTTGGTTAGTTAATTAAATATAGCTGTCTCTTGCTAGTTTATCCAACATTGCGTACCCTAGCTTTAATATATAATATAATCAACAAATAAATTATGATGTAAAAGTATAGATTAAGCTACCCAGCAATATAAAAAGTAATTACATTTACTTACCCCACCGTAACCAGCTGCAACACTAAAATTATGATATATATATATCATAATATATGATTCTGAAATGGGCCATTCATCAGTAAATATATTTTGATACTTTACTCAGGGTAAGAAAAGGGTCTGCATGTTTTTCGGGTGAAATAAAGAATAATTTATGTATTTTTAGTAACAGTAGATGCAATAATAAAAAAGAAACATCTATCAAATAGGCAGTAAAGTGTCCTCTGTAGTAAAGATGCAAATATGACACTGTATATCATAAGTAAGTCTATTAAGGAAGCTAAACATGATTATGGTGCATTAACAATATAGCATAGGTTTGCATAGCAATTTATATTTTTGCATTACCATTGTGGAAAGAAAAATATGAGTGACTGTGAGGAAGGTAATGTGCTGATAGCAAGCTTCGACATTCAGTTCTTGACGTTGTCTGTGAAACAATTCAGCATTACATACAAGCTATTGTTTCCACCACTCTGACAGCTTTTTCTATCAGTCCAAACTTTCACCTGCATTTCTGTGTAGACTTTTAAAAAGAAGGCATGATAGATACAAAATAAAATATTTTTCCGTGGGGTCAATTTGGGTGAACAGCCTGGATAACTACTAAAGTGCCCCACATCTGATGTTATCTTTTTCCTCAGACTTAGTCTTTTTGAGCTGACTGTGGTAAAAATAAACAGATGTAAACAGTGTACTGTTGCACAATGTTTCTGACGCAGTTGTAGTGTCTGTCCCCTCCCCTTGTCTGTCTTACACACACAATGCAGTGCATTGAGCAGCACCATATTGATATGGCTTCATGAGATAAGCGCTACAAAACTGTCGCACTGGGTTGTGTGCAAATTAATTAGGTTTTGTACAAAAAAATTTAAAGATGGCATAGTACATGTAAAGATTATGATTTTAACTGAAAACTAACTATTTTTATATCTTGGAAGTTACTATATTGATCAGCAGCTATAGCTCAACATTTCCCTACTTTTCTATCCCTTGTTCAGTGAGAGTGACAGCTGCAAATGACAAAATAGTTTTATAATCTGATTAGCAGGGTTGCGGAGGTGTGTACCCATGTGTCTGTCTCTGCAATCCTGCTGATCTCAGTACCACACATCCGAAGTTCCTTTGATATGTTGCCTGAGCAATGTACTACTTTTAGAGCCTGCAGGGGACACACGTGTTGTCAGTAACGCATTCTGCCCTTTGACCCTCCATGTCTCTTTTGAAAGCTCATGGCTGTGGTGAAAGGCAGTGTCACTATGTGGGACTGCCGAGTGATGGGAGCATGCTCTGGTTAATATTTAACGGTTGTTCCTGCCAGATAATTAATCAGTATCAGTCTGAGACATTCAGAGAAAACTGAAAGGGGAGCATGGCACTGCTAAAAATAATAACTCTTTACAGAAATGGTTAAAAAAAACTGTCTTTATTTAAATTTCTAACAATATTTTCATCTATAGATTGAGCACTGCTGTTTGCTGAGATGCTGACTACATTTGAATAAAAAATGTTTCTACACATATGAACTCATTTTGACATTAACTTGTGTGCAACTTGTGCAGAGCTTTTTCTTTGGAGAGAAAAACAGTTGTCGTAATCAGACAGAGCAGTCAACACTGAAAGACCTTGAAGGCTGAATAGACAAAATTAAAACACTGAATCTGATTGCAGAATGTAGGGGTGCCGCCAAGTGGGGGAGGGCATTCATTGAACAGTACACATTCCTTGTACCTGTCTGGCCAGTACAGTAACTTCAGGGAAATTGTTCTAAAAGTTGAAGTCCTTATGTATTAAACATGAAAAGAAACACTCCCACAAAATATAAAAACATTAAACTAACAATTGACTTTAAAAGACAAGTTGGTCTTGAATCACAGGTTCTTGTCTTCTCTCTTTCCCTTGCCAATCCAGCAGAGAGCCCAGGGAACCAGAGTGCTTGGGATTAAAAGTGCAACTGCACTTTTACTAAACGACAGGAAATAGAAAGTCAGAAGATTTTCAGAAGAAAATGTCCATCCATCCAACAGCTGAAGCAGAAATAAGGAGACAATAATACATCCTGCCTTGAAACTGGCACTTGTTTTCTTCTTCTTGGACTCTGTGTAGAGGGGTGAGTGCAGGCCCAGGCCCAGGCCAAACAGGGTACCCATGTTACGCAGTAGGCTGGCGAAGGGCGTGGTGTCCAGGTGGACCCACTCTGCCCTCACACACCACTTCTGGGCTTTCGCCATGGTCCACAGCAGGTCCACATTCAGAGTTTTGAGCAGGAGATAGAAGCCAACAGCGAAGGAAGTCAAGAAGAGAGTAGTGTAGAAGTATTTCTTCATGCTGGCATTATAGATCCATTTATGCTTTGAGACAAACTCAGCTACAAGTAAACCTGACACAAAAGCAGAGAAGAGTCAAACAATGGCAACCATCACCTTTGCAAAGCTTTGTAGGCCAGAAGAGCTGCTGTATATACTTTTAGATGAATAATGGTTTTATTGCATGAACTGAAAGCTTTACTGACCACAGTCCTAAACTACCTTGAAATGTTTTCTTAATAGCCAAATGTACCAGAAAATCTTCACAAAAACAAACTTTTATCACTAAAAAATTTATCAACTATTAATTATTTCGGCAGACTGACCTGTAATAGCCCCAGCTATGACTTGGTGTGGGAAGTGGGCAGCCATGTAGACTCTGGACATACAGACCACCACCTCTACAAGGCCCATTAGCATCCACAGGACTATCTGCAAGAATCTGACCGAGAGTGAACACTGACCATGAATGCACAAGGATCCCAGGTATGGAGTTTGTACATAACAGTTTTCTTTAACACCTTGACTATTAACACCAGGACCAGGTGTCAAAGAAATCCATAGTTTTATTACAGTAGACTCACTTGTATAGTAACGGGGGGCATCGCTTCTCTGTTGCAATAGAGAGCAGCGCTGTTACCATCACGTACCAGACCGCAGCTGCACCCATAGCATGACCTGAAGGGCTTCCTGCAAGGAACAGACTTGTTGAATCATTCAATAAAATCTTGAAATCACATATACAGCCATGTCAAAGTCAAACCCAAACCAACTTGTATTTACTTGAGAGTGGTTTTTAAAAGGACATTTTAAGCTTTCTGAAACCAAAAACATGCATGCATGCATCCTTTACTGCAGTAAAATTACTAATATCACACTGTAAAAATACTCCATTACAAGTAAAAGTCATGCATTGAAAATGTTACTAAAGTAATAGTATGACTATAATCAGGAAGGTTATGAAAAATGACCCCTGTGACTATTATACTATTATATATTCAATCATTAGATCATTGTTACTCATGCATAAGTGTAAAAGCACCAGTGCAGCTGGTTGGTAGAGCTAATTTTAAACAATTTTATTTAAGGCTGCAACCAATTATTGTTGTTATTATGGATTAATCTGGTGATTATTTCCCTGATTAATTGATTGATCAGTCCAACGTGACACCTTCACCTTGGAAAAGAAGAAAAAAAAAAAATAATAATAATAATTACAAAGAATAACAAGTAAAGCAAATCTTTATGAAGTATTTGGCATTTTAGCATTAAAATTACTAAGTAATTATCAAAAAACTTGCCAAATAATGTTTTGTCAATTGAAATCATTTCAGCTCTACAGTATATACTGTTGGGTAGTGTACTCAATAACAAAACATCATCCTGTACATAGTTTCATTCCATCACTGCATATCTACACATGCACCCACAGAAGAGAAAACAGGGGTAAATGCAGTCATTAAAAAGAAGACATTGTACAATCCAAACTGAAATTTCTTTGCACATATTAAGAGATAAAATCACCATAAAATATTTGTTTGTGCTAAATGAGTCATTCTACTGTAAACAGACAAAAACAACAAATTCTTCGGGAAAAGATGATCATCATGCGCAGGTCTGTCATGAACTATACCTGGTCCAGTCTCACATGTGATGGGAAACTGCCGCAGCGAAGGGGCCGGTTCTCTTCCATAGTACCGGGTCTCGTGAACCCACCAGTACGGTCTCTCCCCGAACAGAACCCTGCCATGGAAAGACCAGGAAACTCAAAATACAACAGTTTGCTCTCTCTTTATGTGTTTCGATCAACCTCACCGTTACATTTGAGCAGGTTACCATTTCAGGACCAAGTTGAGCCAGTCTCCGAGGACAGCCACCCAGATGAGTCTGAGCCCCGTGTCCCTCCGAAGGTGGAACCAGATTGGGAAGAAGCAGAAGAATGTAGTGTGCAGGTCAGCCACTGTGGACGCCAGGCTAAACAAGCCCTCATAACTGCTGTATTTGGTCTGCAAATGGGACGCCAGCTCAACCCCCCAACTGTGTAGAAGATCCATGATCTCACGATCTCTGCCTGAGGGTGATGCACTGAATCTGGGGTGTTTTGTCTTTTCTGTCTGTTATGCTGCTGCCAAGCTATTTCAGGCAATCCCTTCTGCCACTGTGTGATCACCAGTGGACTTTACTCAAGGCTAGCAAATGTGTTTGTCTTTAGGACAGTGCAGACCGGTTCCTTAACCTTTACACCCCAGAGGCCCCCTCTGCTAAAATCCATTATTAGAGATATCAGCTGCCACCCCTCTGACAGATCACATCTTTCTAGGAATATTAATGAAAATTAAGTAACTTCTGTTCTGAGTTCAAGCCAGTTGCTTGTGAAATCCATTGATCCTGGCCCACAATGTATCCTCTGTGTTTGTAGAGTTTGTCATTAGTTTCGTCCTACTCAGGCTTGGGACCCCAGTGTGCAAAATGAGGACGTTCTTATCACAAACGTATCCCTCAAAACAAGATAAAACATGAGCTCATCTTAAGCTCATCTTAAGCTTCCCTGGTAGACCAGTTTGTCATGACAGGAGAAGCAACTTTTCTGTTTTATCACTGACTATCTCCTCGTTCTTCTCAGTCAAAACCCAATCATTTAATCATTGATCTCCTTATGTAACCTACACTACCTCCACTAGTGAGATGTTTTCACCAAATCATAAAAAAGGCTGTTACATAACTGTTTTAATAAATTACTGAGTGGCTGCATGAATGGGAACGGAATAATGTAAAAGGAAATATCATTATAGTTAGTTTAAGCCTGCACCTAAGCACTATGTAGTTATGTTATTTATTCTAAGAAATTAAGAGGACATAGCATGTTTAAAAATATTTTGCGGTTCAACGAAAAGCAAACGGTTCTGTCTGATTTATGTCACAATTGTCACATACAGCCATGTGTCCAATGACTTCCTGTCTGTGCTGCGTACAGTAGTTCATTGAGAGATACAAATTGACGTTTTGTTTTCCCGCTATCTTTTCAACTTGTTTGTGTGACAAACCTCCCAAACGCTTCTGACTCCCTGTGTTTTATTACACATGTGCAAGGTCCAAAGATCAGTGTGAGCATGCGTTTGGGTGGTGGGTCCCTCTGGTATAAAAACAACCAGCTGTATTACTGATAGCAACACTCTTGTTTTTTTTGTGTAACGCATTCGCACATCACCAGACTGAGACTTCTTTCTCTCTGTAGGCTAAGATGAACGCTATAATGGACACCATGCAGGGTTTGGGGTGAGCAGCACCCACTACCTGCAGACCAACTACCAGGATGCCCAGGGCTTGTTTCTTTGGGTCTCCTGGGCGGCAGACCTCAGAAACACCTTCTTCATCTTCTTCCCGCTTTGGTTTCACCTGCGGGCTTCAGTGGGCATCAAGCTCATCTGGGTGGCCGTGATCGGAGACTGGCTTAACTTGGTGTTCAAATGGTGAGTCAAGAAAATCTTTGAATTAATAGTTTCCTGAACAAAGTCATGTGAAATCAAACATCCTTAACATTTTTAACTGTGAGTGTGTGTTTCTGTCATCTTCTTCAGGATTCTGTTTGGGGAGAGGCCTTACTGGTGGGTCCATGAGGCAGCTCATTATGCAAACACTGTTCCCCCTCACATTGAGCAGTACCCCATGACCTGTGAGACTGGACCAGGTGAGACATGGCAACATTACATCCATTGCTGAATTTTCAGCAAGGTCTTCAAGCTAGATTTTGACACAGGGCCTAAAGATCAGGTAGTAAAACAGGACCCATGTTAAATAAGCCATAATTTTATATTAGGCTTTAGAGGTGCATATTCTCATATTCCTAAACAAAGATACGATCAATTGAATTACCACGAAGCAGCTGCCATACAGTGAACCTGAAGTTTGTGATCCAGCTTTGTAATCATGCACAGGTTTTGTTGGTGTTGGAAGAAGTACTTAACCCCTTTACTTAAGTAAAAGTAGCAAAACAGTACAACACTGTTAAACTACTCTATCGCAAAGAAAAGGTCCTGCATATAATCAGATATATATTATCATTAAAGTCTCAAAAATTAAATAACTTGGCCCCTGTGATTGAAAAATTATCATTCTATATTATTAGATTGTCAATCAATGAATAAAAGCATCAGTTTTAGCTGATCAAGGACAGCTTATTCTACAACAACTTTACATACACTTAGATAGTTTTGTCCAGTGGTTCCCAATCCAGAGGCATTTTGAGATGATTAATGGGGTAGGAAAGAAAAAAAAGTTCTGCTACACAAACCTTTGCTTTTTGTGATATATTAGATAATTTTACCTATTTGGGCCATCTGAGAGGTTTAGAGGGGAAATCACCATTTGGTAGAAATGTTAACTACTCATAGACTTCTGAAATCTTTGACAAGGGGTCCCAACTAGACACTGTTTTTCAGAAAGGGGTTTTGTATTGTATTTTATAATCTTATAATATATTTTGTAAATATAAATCTTAATTTGAAGTGGTATAACATAGTCAAGAAAAGTATAAGTACCTCAATATCATTCTCAAGTACAGTACTTGAGTACATGTACCCTTAGTTACTTTCACCACTGTGTAACATAAAAATGAGCTAAAACGCTCCTCATTCATTCTTTCAGTCACTTAAGTTTTGAAACAACAGAAAATGATTATTGAACAATGCCGTCATTGTTCTACTCGAGTGAATCAGCCACTGAAATCTACTCCTCTCTGTTTGTGTTATCCAGGCAGCCCCTCTGGACATGCTATGGGAGCCGCAGGTGTCTACTACACCCTGGTGACCTCCATCCTCTCCATTATGACCAGTAAGAAGAAATATGGAAGCAACAAATCCACCAACAAGGACTGGTGAGTTAAAAAACGTAGTTGTCTGAGAGAATGTGTAAAAACCAACAACTTTGTTCTCTTGTCCCTATGGATGTCAGAGTTGTTTACTATTTTCTTCCACCCAGAGCTTATCATTGTGGACACACTATCTGTTCTGTGCTGTGGTTGATCATTGACTTCTGAGAACTATTGGTTTGGAAAGGGGAGATTATGCATGTTTTGACGTCCAGGGAGCAAAGAATAACTGTGTCAGCTGTTATATTGCTTTTAAGGGTTGACTTGCTTGGCATGGCTAGCAAAGGCTAGACTGATTTAAAGTGCTGCACCCTCAGATCTGCCCTTTTCAAAATAAAATCACCTCAATTGTCTGAATTTCTATTTTGGCAGGTATTTGAAGGCTGTATTGTGGACACTTTTTTGGGGAGTCCAGGTGTGTGTCTGTCTCTCCAGGGTCTTCATCGCCGCCCACTTTCCCCACCAGGTCATTGCTGGTGTTATCACAGGTCAGTATGTAATATCAGTGGATGATTTAATACCCCATTAGAAATAGACTAAAACAACTGTCAAGCCTGTGCTGCTATGCTTACTATAAAACATAATATTGACCTGGGTTTTTCCATGTACTCTAGGCATGATCGTGGCCGAAGCCTTCAACAGAACTCAGTGGATCTATAATGCCAGCATGAAGAAATACTTCTACACGACTCTCTTCTTGACCTCCTTCGCTGTTGGCTTCTACCTCCTGCTCAAAGCTGTGGGCGTGGATCTGCTGTGGACACTGGAGAAAGCACAGAAGTGGTGTGTGAAGCCCGAGTGGGTCACCTGGACAGCACGCCCTTCGCCAGCCTCCTGCGTAACATGGGCACCCTGTTTGGCCTGGGCTTGGGCCTGCATTCGCCCCTCTACACCGAGACCAAGAAGAGTAGCAGCACATTGGTCAAAGCTGGGTGCATCATCAGCTCTTGTTCCTGCTGCACCTGTTTGACTCCTTCAAGCCTCCTACCCACACAGCAGCCCTGTTCTACCTGCTGTCCTTCTGCAAGAGTGCCACCGTGCCTCTGGTCACTGTCAGTATCATCCCGTACTGTGTGAACGGAGCTCTGAGCCTGCAGAACAAAAAGGGAGTGTGAGCAATGATACAGACTAATGAAATGGAAGTGCAGAGTCTCTTCCTGATCAAGAAAACCAAAACACTTCCCTCTGGTGCTTATTACATTCACATGTCCAACTGATCCTCAAGAAAAGCCAGGAGATCAATGGGAAATTGTCACTGGTGTCATTTGGACACTGAACTCTGTGAGCACTGTGTGACAATAAGTGAAAGCACCATCCCGGGTCCCCAGGGGCACTTAGAAAGACCAATTTTCTAACAAAGTCTAACAAAATGTGATAATTACAGTTGTTTCAGAGTCCTGGAAAAGGACAAACAGTGAACACATGAGTCTAGAGAGTGACTCTTTGCTTGCAGTTGCTGTGTTAAAACTCACTCACTTCGATGTGTTATTTCAACTGTAATAGTAATGTATATTTAATGTTATAGAAAGTATTTTTGAAACTGTTTTAAATATTTTTATTAAAACAAATATTGAAAATGTATTAAAATCCCTTGGGTCATATTTGCTAACATACCATACAATCACACTGGACTGCATCATGATTAATTAGCCATTAATCAGCATTTATCTATTCGATCACATACGGTGGAATAACTATTTGGATCTTTGACTTAAGCAAAAGTACCTCAATAAAAAATTATACTCAGGTAAAGAAACAGATGTATAATCAGCAAAATGTAAAAGCACTCATTGGACAACAAAATGGCCCTTCTCAGAGTGCTATTATATTTTCAATGGATTATACTGTGTACATACACTGGATTTAATGTTATAACTGTGTAGCGAAGGGTCAGAGCAGTCACCGCACACAGATAGAATACAGGTTGAGGTGGAGCCAGTTTTGACTACTTTATAGAAACTGTTGGGTAGTGCGATCTATAATAATGCATCCGAGAAGGAGTGCGATTAAGTGGATCAAACCAGCAGGCCAAACCAGCCAGTATTCCAACAGCATGCACCTTCCACCTACATAACATCTTTTGATCTAGTTATATTTTTATTTATACAGCGGGATAATAATAAGATATCACCACTGCTAAATAAATTAAGCATTTTATTAATAGTTCAGCAGAACTCAAAATAGAAATGTAATACTTTCAAACTCAAGTTGAAATCTTTTTTTAAAGCGGGCTCAGACATGTAGTCATGAATGATCATACTTGACCATTCATGACTACACACACACAAATAGTGATGCAACAAAAAATACAACATAAACTTCACATTCCTGTTTGGTGGCTTTGCGTTGTTGTCCTGTTGAGGTGTGTGTGTGTATAGAGGAACATCTAAAGAGGCTAGTGTAGGCTGTGGTATATGTGTATGTATTTGTGCATGTAAAAAAAACACAAATAAATAATTATTTTCACTAAAACATGCCAAGCAAAGCAATCATCATAACTTCAATCTTTATAGTAGACAACAAATGCACCACTGATTTAGTTTGACTCGAGGGAAGTAGGACAAGCAACGGATCACTCATCATTATCAAATAACTATCCTATCAAATTGTTTCCTTTCTTGCTGACTGTGACTAGTGAAAGCAAACTGAAGTCACCAATTTTGTCCCTGTCAACCCAGAGAGAACATCTGGTCCTAAATGTCTCATTTAGCAGAAATACTTGGACACATGACCCCCCTTCCAGAAAGCTCATGTCCCATTTGGGCTGTTGCATAAACTCATAAGATAGACATTTTGGCAAAGCCAGAGTAAGATGTGAATCATTAACTCAGCACCAGAGCCCTGGCCTTTAGTCTGACATGCAGCGATGACATAGATCCACACGTCATACAACTGGCTGCGTGTCAGGCCAATGGTGCAAGCTGAACATTCAATATTTGCCTGTTTGTATTTTGCAGAAATCATGCATGACATCCCTGATGAACACTGAGTTATAGACACGATTGTGTGCCACGGATGTGCTCTTCAATGCTGTGTCACAAAAACTAGGCCAAGACTTAGCTGTGAAATTTAAAATAAGTTCCATTCTACTGTTATTGGCTCATAGTTGCAAAGAAAAGAAAGGAACGTTTTTGGTCATTTAAGTGGAGACAAGAACTGACCTGTATAACAGAAAATCAGTTGTAAAGACGCAATTCCAAGGAGACAGGGTTGATTCATGAGGTGCATGTGAGAATGTATTACTTTAATTAGTAGTCTACTTTGAAATCAATGTTGAGTGTATTTAAAAGTAAACCAATCCATTCTCCACAAAGAAAAAACCCTGCAACCTTAATTTATTTAGTTTGAAAAGTAACAGAGTTCCTCAACCCATAAGGAAGCACTCCATCCTCCAGTTTATCAGAAACATTAAAAATCAAAATCACCACATTTGCAGATACAGTGTGGACAGTAATTGTATAAAAATGTAATATGAAAAATAAAGCTTTCAGACTGTGGAGTAAAAAGTACAATATTTGCCTCTGAGATGTAGAAGTACAAGCACGTCATATTTCAAGTACAGCATTTGAGTAAATGTACTGTAGGCCTATGTAAAGTGGTTAAAACTAACTAAACTTAGTTCTACATAGTAAAATGCTGCTTACACATTGTTGTGACTGATGTAACGATTTTCATCAGTAATAGTCACAAGTACCTGTGCTGATATTTGCTATTTCTGTATTTTTACTTCACTAAATGCAGGACTTCTACTTGTAGTGGAGTGTTTTTACATTTTGGTATTTCTACAAACTTACTTAAAGTGAGTAAAGTATCTGCCTAGTGCATACACATGCCTTTGGCGTGAGAGATGTGGTTCGATTCCAGCTACAACACATCCGATGTGTCCCCGAGCAAGATACAGCAGAGGCATGCGACATCTGACATATAGAGCAATTGTAACTCGCTTTGGATAAAAGCGTCAGCTAAATGTGTAAATGTAATGTAATCTCCCACCAGTGCTAAGACCTCACTGTTTGTGTGTGTGGTTGTTATACCATGTGCGGATGCAGGGTGGCGGTGGTTTGCCATCAACCGAAAGATTTACCCAAATGGTGAAAAAGAAAAAGAAGACTCCGGAAGTATTATGGCTGCTTTCTTGTCTTTAGATTTGTTGTACCTGGTAAACAGCTACAAAATGGTCACAGGTTGAGGAAAGTCATTATCGGTCCATCATGTCCAAAATGCAGTGCTGAGGACGCTGGTGGCAGCAGCTGCGGACGAGATATTTAGCGCAGTCGAGAGGATGATAACAGAGACGACGATGCAGCACACTGCAGGTTTGTAAACACAAGACATATGTTTTAATAAGAACTGGTTTGATAAGGGAATTCTTTTAGTAAATATACCTGCAGGAATTTATTCTGAAGCCCACCAACTTTCATGAATGTCTTTTTTTAATTTTCATTTTAAGCCAAATTATGTGCAATACATTTTGATGCAATCCCAAATGGTGCAATTAGAATCAGCACACATTTTAAATTGCTCCCAGTATACTTAACGTTAGTACACAAGAACAATTTACTGACTGGAAGATAGAAATAGACATTCCAACTAAAAAAAGGACAAAAATAAACATAGGACTATTTTGTTTAGTAGGGTTAGGGTGAAAAAAAGGTGTATAGGTTGTATCCATATCCATATATATATATATATATATATATATATAGCAACAATTACCAACAACATACCAAGTGTGTCTGTACAGTCATTGTAAAAAATAATAGGGAAAAATTTGGTTGCAAGACTCGGAACAACCGCTTTGAAAACAGTCACTGGAAATGGTGTTGGATGTTGAAAATGAAAAAAAAGGTAAAATAGGTTTCCTTTAAAATAATGCATAGATGTTACCCAGTAAAATTTGTTTTTATCTGGATACAAATTAGACCTGGATATCTTCTTTGTCAAAGATGTGATGAGAGTATAGTCAGGGTACACTAAAATGTTTTGGACTGATATGATGAAGAAGTGTCACAGTGACATTTGTGCTGTTTGGAGCAGAAACGGATGATATCAGTTTACACTGAGAGTGGCGTTTCAACCAAATCACACCAACCTGTATTTTCAGCTTTATCTTCACACAGACTTAAAAAAATAATAAGAACAACAACATTTACAGGGGAGGGCAAATCAATTGGTTTTGGATGCAAAATCATTTCTACAGTATACTGTATATATGGGAAATTATTCTGGCATTTGCTTGTGCCTTTGATTCTTTCTTCCTTTCTGCAGAAATGTCACCTGAGCATCAGAGGGCAGTTGTACACAAGCAGCTGTCGGTGGTCACTGACGAGATATTTAGGATCCTGGAGGTAATGATGGGTGAATATGAGGCAGAAGTCTCCAGTTCCCACAAGGAGAGCCAACGTCAACGCCAGCCGCCAGACATTGCGTTGAAAATGGAGACAAATTTACAGAGAACAGGTACATTGTACATTTGATAATGTGTATATTGTAACCATTTGTTTTTAGAGTTGTCAGCGATTTTGTTTCCTGCTGGTACAATTTGTTTTGTGAACTTTTAATAAACTATTGTCAAACATTGTCAGACGCTCACCTGTTGAGTGAGGTTGAGTGAGCTTGTTTTGTTGCTCTCACACACACGTAGTTTATAGGAAATATAGTTAAGGCCTTGGTGTTTTATTTATTTATTGCAATTTACATTATTTCCATGCTGAATTTTCTCTTGGACCTTCCCTTCAGAGAGACTCTCTGGGTCAGACTGGGAAAAGGACAGTTCCTCTGAGCAGCAGAAATGTGAGCAGAGCAGGAGCTCCAGCCAGGTCCAGAAAACATCAACTCTATCGCAGATCACAGACGCGTCTACGGAGACAGACTCTGATTTAATTCACGGTAAGCCCTCACATTTCCACCAAACACAAAGAGCAGAAAAGGGCACCTCAACTGCGATGGAAACAGACACACGAGTGGAGCAGTGTTGGATGCCAGCTAGCGAAAAGGAGGTTCTGTCATCAAAAAATTCAGAAGCTGGGAGTGAAGATAATGAAAGTGATAAAGTGCTGAATGAGAAACCCTACAGATCCCAAAAAATAAAAACATTTCTGAGACAAAGTCAGGGTGTGGATTATTGTAAAACATGTGGAAGGTCTTTCAGCAAAGGTGTCGCTGGGAAGAAAATAAAAACGCATATAAGAAAAATTGCTCCAACAAATAAGTGCCAAACCACAGGACAGAGGCGTTGCAGAGTATGTGGAAAGTTTTTCCGGTACAAACGTTCTTTTCTGAAACACATACTTAAGCACGAAGAGAGCTCAGATCTGTGTGGAGCCTGTGGGAAACATCTGGACTCTGACGAGAGCTTAAAGGTGCATTTACAAACCCACCACGAAGAAAACAGCCACGGGGAGCAAGCAGATGACAGACAGTCAGAGGCGGAGTGCTCTGACGCCGAGAGTAAAGTGGATGACAGTGATGAGGACTGGAAGAACAGTGAAGGAACTGCTAGTGACGATGGAGACAGCGATAAAGATGAGACCAAAGAAGGAACTTGTTTACAAAGTCCAAAACAAAAATTAAAGGATCAAACAAACCTAAGGGCCAGAAAAATAAGGACTGCAAGGATTTATCCTATCTCAAACACTGCTGTAAAGTATGTGGCAAGTGTTTCTGTTACAGAGCATCTTTTTTGAAGCATGTGCAAGAAGACGAGACGGATAAAGATCTTTGTGGCGTGTGTGGGAAACGTTTTGAGTCTGAGGAGACCTTGAGGCTCCACTTGCAAACTTACGTCAGAACGAATGACTGTGTAGTTTGTGGCAAACACTTTGACGGCCATAAACAACTGGAGATGCACATGAGAACCCACACGGGAGAGAAGCCGTACATCTGCACCGTGTGCGGCAAAGCGTTCGCTCAAAATGGAAATCTAATGGGACACATGAGAGTTCACACGGGGGAGAGGCCGTATGTTTGCAGCGTGTGCGGTCAGAGCTTTAGCTTTAAAGAATACATGATGTCTCATATGAGGATCCACACCGGGGAGAAGCCGTTTCTGTGTAGCGTCTGCGGAAAAGGATTCAGACAGAGGGGGACTCTGAAAACGCACATGATGATCCATACAGGAGAGTCCACGCACCGATGCGGCATATGTGACAAAAAGTTCTACAAGAGCGGAGCGCTGAAGATCCACATGAGGTCCCACACAGGAGAGAAGCCATATCTGTGCAACGTTTGTGGGAAAAGCTTCACAGCGAGCGGCTCGCTGACCAAACACATGGGCGCCCACGAAGGGGAGCGGACACACTGCTGCAGCGTCTGCGGCAAAGGATTCTTGAGGAAAGAAGACCTGAAGAGACACGGTCAGACTCACGGGGACGAGTCCACCCAGCTGACGAGTCTTTAGTGGGTGCTGCCTGTTAAAGGAATAGTTCAACATTTTATTTTTAAGCAAAAAATACCAATCATTATCAAGCTCCAGCTTTTCAGTTTTGAGCAGTTGCTGTTTTCCTGTCATGTGATAGTAAGTTGATCATTTTTGGACAGACAAAACAAAACATTTGAAGACATCTTCATGGGCTGTTGGAAAAAGCATTTCTCGCTATTTTCTGACAGGGTATACAGTATTTATTGATGTGTGTGTGTGTGTGTGTCAAAAAAGACCTTTGAAGCTGTCTTCTTTACACGACTGACAAAGACAGCAAACAAATGTTGAACTATTCCTTTAATGATACATAAAACTATTTCAAAACTCAAAGGGAAAACTGCTGATGCTAGTTTGACATGTACTTCTTACATACACACAGTCTCCAGTGTTCCATTAATTTAAATAAAAAAATAGCCTGAACATGCCTGAAAACTTTGCTAACTTCAATTCAATTTTATTTATGTAGCGGCAAATCACAACAGTTATCTCACAGCGCTTTTCATAAAAGAGCAGGTCTAGACCGTACTCTATGATGTTATTTACAGAAACCCAACAGTTCCCACCAAGAGCAGCACTAGGCGACAGAGGCAAGGAAAAACTTCCTTTTAAGAGGCAGAAAGCTCGAGCAGAACCATGACTCAGGGTGGGCGGCCATCTGCCTCGACCGGTTGGGGTGAAGGAGAGAGAGAGGGGGAGAGAGAGAGAGAGAGAGGGCAGGAGAGGAACAGAGAGAAAAAGAGAGGGATGGAAGGAGAGAGAGGGGAGGGAGGCAGCCTACACAATATACACACACAGAGGTACAGACAGTAAAGGTGATGTTGCTATAGACTAAATGAAAAATGGTACAGATATTTATAGTAGTGTTAATTATAACAATCGTAATGTTAATGATTATAATAACAATAAGACTAGCAACAATATTCGTTGCAGCAGAGGGTGCCGAGCAGGAACACGGGGGCAGCAGGTGACCCGCAGCCACAGATCCAGACTCCACAGCTCCAGAGCCAGAAACACCTGCAGAAAGTGATAGGAGAAGAGAGGAGAGGGACGAGAAAGCACAAGACTACCAGAAAGGGGAGAAGTTGTGTTAGTAACATGCAATAATGGGATGAGGTTGCATACAGAGGGAGAGGAAGTAGAGGAGAGAGGAGCTCAGTGCATCATAGGAAATCCCCCGGCAGTCTAGGCCTATAGCAGCACAACTAAGGGATGGTTCAGGACTCACCTGAGCCAGCCCTAACTAAAAGCTTTATCAAAGAGGAAAGTCTTAAGCCTACTCTTAAATGTGGAGATGGTGTCTGCCTCCTGAACCCAAACTGGAACCTGGTTCCACAGGAGAGGAGCTTGATAGCTGAACGCTCTGGCTCCTAGTCTACTTTTGGAGACTCTAGGAACCCAAGTAACCCTGCATTCTGGGAGCGCAGTGCTCTGGTGGGGTAGTAAGGTACTATGAGTTCTTTAAGATAAGATGGTGCCTGACCATTAAGAGCTTTGTAGGTAAGAAGAATGATTTTAAATTATTTTCTGGATTTTACTGGAAGCCAATGCAAAGAAGCTAAAACAGTTGTTCTTGTCAGAACACGTGCTGCATCATTCTGGATCAGCTGAAGAGTCTTAACGGACTTTTTCGAGCAGCCTGATAATAAGGAATTGCAGTAATCCAGCCTAGAAGTAACAAATGCATGGACTAGTTTTTCTGCATCGTTTTTAGACAGGATGTTCCTGATTTTTGCAATATTACGTAGGTGAAAAAAGGCGGTCCTTGAAATTTGCTTAATGTGAGACTTAAACGTCCTGATCAAAGATAACTCCAAGATTCCTCACAGTGGTGCTGGAGGCCAGGGCGATGCCATCAGGGAAACTATATCTTTAGATAATGCGTCACGGAGGTGCTTAGGCCCCAGAACAATAACTTCAGTTTTATCTGAGTTTAACATTAGAAAATTACAGGTCGTCCAGATTTTAACATCCTGAAGGCACATTTGAAGTTTAGCTAACTGATGAGTTTCATCTGGTTTGATCGATAGATATAACTGAGTATCATCTGCATAACAATGAAAGCTTATGGAATATTTCCTGATAATATTGCCTAAAGGAAGCATATATAAAGTGAAGAGGATTGGTCCGAGGACAGATCCTTGAGGAACTCCATGACTAACTTTGGCATGCATGGAGGACTCATCGTTAACATGTACAAACTGAAATCGATCTGATAAATAGGACTTAAACCAGCTTAGAGCGGTTCCTTTAATGCCAATGAAATATTCCAGTCTCTGCAATAGGATCTGATGGTCAATGGTATCAAATGCGGCACTAAGATCTAATAAAACTAGTACAGAGACAAGTCCTTTGTCTGATGCAATATGGAGGTCGTTAGTAATTTTCACCAGTGCTGTCTCTGTGCTATGATGAGCTCTAAATCCTGACTGAAAATCCTCAAATAAACTATTGCTCTGCAGAAAGTCACACAGCTGTTTAGCAACTGCTTTCTCCAGGATCTTAGAGAGAAATGGAAGGTTAGATATAGGTCTATAGTTGGCTAAAAAATCCGGATCAAGTTTGGGCTTTTTCAGAAGAGGTTTAATTACAGCTACTTTAAAGTACTGTGGTACATAGCCTGTTGATAAAGATAGATTGATCATATCTAGTATAGAAGTGCTGACTAAGGGTAAAACATCTTTAAGCAACCTAGTCGGGATGGAGTCTAAGACGCAGGTTGATGGTCTAGATGAAGAAATTATTGAAGTTAGTTGTAACTCACATGTATCATGCAACTTGAACAAGTCTTTGTGGCTTTTTGAGGTTTTTGGCACACTCTGTAATAAACTCTATAAAAGATCAGATTAAATCTTTTAAATTTCAAAAACTCCGGATGGTTAAGTGCTTCTAGTGGCATTTTCAATTATGTAAAACATTAAAACAAGTGTTAAATTGAATTAATTAGTTGCAAATAATTTGTATGTTACAAATAAAATTAAAAGTTAAGAAAGACTACAGAAACTCTTGACAGCACTATCACTTCTCTTGTTTGTGCAGCTACATTTGTGTTTTTTTGTTGTTTTTTTTATAAAGAAATGTTCAATGGTAATCTGATCCCAGCAAGATGTTGTTTAAAGTTGTTTTTAAACTGTATCCTCAATCCTTACTTTCAGTCTGATGTTCAAAGAATCAACAGAGTTTATTTTGTGGGATTTTCTTTGCAAATGTTTAGTCTGAAATTGCATTTATTGGTATTATATATCAGATATTACCATTCATATGTCTTTGATTGATAAACATAATCATATGCATGTGTCTTAGCCTGAACACTTACCAAAATGTTTATTTAACAAGATTATATTTTTTAGTTTAAAGGTAGAGATTGTCTTAATGGAGAGATGTTACACAAAATGATGTGTAAAAACACCAAATATTTCACTTTACAGATTTGTTTTTTGTAAAAAACCTTTTGCGTTTTTAAATTTCACGGTTCAGATTTTTGTTAAAATCATCAATAAAAGCAAGAAATCTGTCTTTTGCCATTTGAGTGCTTACACTTTATGTAGAGATGTAAGATTTTAGTTCAAAGCACTTTGTGTTCTATTTATATATATAATAAAATAATGAAGAATGGACAGAGTCAGTTTACCAATCTTATTTATTAGTTTAAGAAGCTTAACTATCATTTTCATTATCGATGAAATCTGTTATTTTTCAATGAATTTAGTATATAAAATGTCAGAAAATAGGGGAAAATGCCCCTGACAAGTCCAAGGATTTTTGTCCAACCAACAGTCCATTCCCCTAAGAGATTCACTTTACAGTGGGAAAAAAAGCAGGAGTTCCCTCGTACTTGACTTTTGAATACAGACACTGGATGGATTACTGTGAAATCTGGTTCAAACATTCAAACATCCCCTCAGGATGAACTGTGACGACCCCTTAACCTTTCCTCTAGCTTTGTCAAATCACTAAATACGTGCCAAATGAATGACATTCACATCAGCCTCAGCTGTACTTTGAGTTTAGTGCTAATTTGCATGCTGACACGCTAAACTAAGATGAACATAATTAACTTTATACCTGCTAAACATGAGCATGTTAGCATACTGACATTAGGTATTATGTACAGCCTCACAGAACTGCTAGTGTTGTAGACTTTTGTAGAGTATTGTTTTATTATTTTTTTTGAAAAGATCTTCAGAATAGCTGACATTCAATGAATCTTTTCAGCTCTACAAAGTACTCTCATTTGTATAATTCTATTATGACGCCGTCTGCGCTGCACTGAATGTGGTGAATTAACCTAAGAAAGTAGATTCCGTGTCTCCTCAATGGATTTTCTTTCCTGTGAGAGGCTTTTACTGTGAGGCAGAATTTAATTTATCTAATGTGATAGCTACCTCTCTTCTTTAGCTACCTTTTGGCAAAGATGAGGTGTGTCTCAATTGAAACCATGAAATTACAAAACAAATCCAAAACAAATTGACTGGGAAAAAAACCACACTGACACACAGACGTTCAGTTTAAACACAATTTATTATTCTGCTTAAATAATTACTTGGATCATCCAGTGTAGGCTATGTTGGTTCGTCATACATGTTGGTACCAGATTTATCATCAACAATGGATGCTTGGGGTGGTTTTGTATGAAAAGAGAAAACAGAAAAAAAAAGATTGACATATAAACAGAAGATCAGATTTTGATCAATACTGTGATTTATGTGAGTTAGTAAAAAGGACTACATTTAGATAATGGGGCTAAAAATAAGATTCTCTGTTCTCATGAAATTACAACCTATTAAATAAAGATAAAAGTCATCAAACCATCAAAATTTAACAGTCCCCTTTTTAAAACCACAGCAGACCTAAAAGCTTAAACGTACACTTCTAGTATGCATGATGAGCTTACAGATAGACATTTTTATTTGATGTTGCACGCACACAGGGGCTGCTAGCAGTTTGGAGATAACACATTGTGCCAGTCTGCAGGTTATATTCGGGGACACTGACCTTCCTGAAGCGTAAGAATGAAGCTATCTCTGCCACTCGAGTGTGGAGTGTGTGATCTTTGTAAAAACTAAAATAAAAACAGTTATTGATGACAGATGGTTGGATTATGTGCACACACAGACAGAAAGTACCATCAAACCCCTCTCTAATTGTATTACAGTGCTTTGAATTAGGAGGAAAAAAAAGGAAAGCGTTAAAAATAAAGTGACGTCACATGCAGCAAAATATAATTTCTCTGAAGACGAAGAATGTTCCACAGACAGAGCGGAAGTAGCTGTTGGATATAAAGAAACGTCCATTGTTTAAAATCAAGCAGTTTTTTTTTCTCTCCATTCGTTTCTCATTTACACACAGCATTTTTTATATTCATTTGGAAGAGCATGTCAGGTCACACACTCAAGGCTGCACAAACAGTGTCGACCTCTCAATACAAACGCACCGACTCTGCGAAGCTTCAACTCAAATCAGTGCATAAACAATCTGTGAAGCTGCTGATCTTTTTTTGTTTGTTTTTTTTCAGTGTCAGTTATATACAACAAAATCACCCATTTACTATTATATTTCATTTTTTAAAAAATAACCACATGGTAACACCCCAATACTGTGGGTCCAGGAGGAAAAAATAGACCATATAAGGCGAGTGTCTGAGAGAGAGTGGATCACACATCTTTATCTGTTTATCTGTCAGCAGTTTACTTGTCGTTTTTCTTGCGCCACCTTTGGTCACGGACGCCTTTCATTCATCAAAGATAGAAAGTTCCAGCTCACGTCCAGTCGTGTCCTTCGGGTGTTGTTTCCAACAGTGAGAGAGTTTGGTGACATGCTCATGCGAAATAAAAGAAAAGTAGTTGTTTTGCTTTGTCTTGCTGAAAACCATGCGTTGTAAGTGAAAGCTTCAGACACGTTTTGGCGATTGACGAGGCTTCCAGTCCGTTTTCCCTCCCAGGGTGTATGTGGTGTCGCAGGTGGACGTCAGTGGACCTGGAGGGTCAAATATGACAAGCTTACATTAAGGTCTGACTTGCTGCAAATGGGGGGCAGGGTGATATGGCAAATTTCATTAAGAAAAAAAAAGTTACATCATTTGATATTGATAATTATCATGATAAATGTCAAATCATTATTTTTAAGTTTAAGGTTGATTTTTGCTCCTGAGTGAAAGTTGAATTTAAAAAAAACAGATTTAACACTCATTTTGTTGCACAATTGAATGTAGAGCTAGAATGCATTTTTATGGCAAAATTGTGAACCAGTCCACTATTTTGGCTTTAAAGACTGATATTTATTCACTTCATGAATGGATAATAGTCAGAATTCAAGTTATTAGCTGCTTACCAGGTTTAGTTGAGAGCACCACTGTTATGACTGACTCTTCTTCCCTTGTTTCTTGCTGGCACCGTTTTCAGGCTTGGCAGAGAGAGAAAACAAGCAAAGCAGTGAAGTCCACCAAGAGACAGAAAAACAAAGAGGTAAAGGAAAAGAGAAAGGGAAAAGTGGAGAGAAAAAAAAGAACGTTAGTATTGTGCTCAGAATGAGCACAAAGGAGCTCAACTACTGTATGTTAGGAGATCACAGGCAGCGTGCTAGAAGAGAGAAGTTTAAGGAGAGAAAGATGTTACGGTTACTACGTCTGTCCATCTGCAAACGAAATCACACATGCATCAATACATGTTAAAAATAAGCGTTGATTTTTTTCTATATTAGTTGAGACACTTGTAATGTTAGTAGTTTTCAAACCCAATCAACAAGCCAGTACTACTGATACACACTGCAGTACAAAGGAAACACACAGCAGGACACAACCACTGCAAACATGTATACAGACCATTGTAATAACTACTTGTTACTCCATTACACAGCACTTCACAAACTGCTATCTGTTTTTTTCACGGTAGCATGACAGCAAACAGCTCTGATTAATGCTGAGATCAGACTACACAATATGGGCCCAATAACGTGTGACCCTACAGATGTGCAGCGGCGAGAATGAAAGTGAGTATTTGGGAAAGACGATTTGTTATGTTACTTAATGTGTCATAGTCTTGGATGCCTCTTGTGACCCAGAACGAAAAGACAGGTTAGCACGTCAGAATTTTTTTTGCCTTTCATGCTTTCTTCTAGTTTAATATTGTCTATAGCCAAGTTTGAATTCAAATGCAGCGCAAATTTGAAACCAATTTCTAGAAAAATCTGCAAAAGTAAATTCAAATGAATGTGCGTTTCCATCCACTGCTGTTATATCAATATTGGAATTGAGATAAATGGTGGCACTTATTCTCCTGTTAGATGCCGTTAAAATATTGCAGAAGAGGACTGCAGTCAAACTAAACCAATGGTGAAAAACAGTCCAGAAAACATGATGTAAAAATGCTTTATGTTTGTTTAATTGTCTCCTAATTTGACACAGTAACTGTCTTAATGTGTACACTTCTCATAGCATAACTTTGTTCCAGAGCAGGACTTAGCTAAGCTAAGCTGGGCTGTAGCTGAAGCTGTGAAATATTTTACTCCAATTCAACCTGGATCAAAAGTGTTCTACAGGCCTGGATCAACTCAGAAAATATGTGACATAATGTGCAAGAGGGCCCTGAATATGAACCATCTGGCTTAAGTTGGTCCTCACTTGGTGCGCAAACTTTCTTCATAAGCCACTAGTTTACTTCAGCTGTTTTGCGCTGGACAGGTAGCGTGCACTCTGCTTATCCTTTCCTACAAAACAGGTGCAAATGGTTGTTATATTTGGGCTGAGGTGGGTCAGAGCGGTGAAAAGGTGCAGGCTGAAAACACAAAACAAGGAGCTGTGTAGAGCTACAGAGGAATGGGTGTTCACATTTGTCTGAGTGATTTGATTTAATGTTTACATACAATTACAGCTTCATGCAGGTGTAAGTGGGCTAGGATAGCTCAGGACAGCTCAGCTGACTAAGTTAGGCGGTTTGTTTTAACGCCAACCTCAGTTTTCCCTCTCTGGGCCTCCTGGGCCTTGTGACCCTGTCGGGAGCGCTTCCCCCTCTTCTTGCCCTTCCCCCCTGTGGCGCTTGCTGCTGCTGCACCTGCTAAAGAAGCAGCATCTGCTCCACCTGTCACTACACCAAGAGCAGATCCTTCTTCTGAAACAGTTTTGCCTTCACTTTCCTTCCTTTCCTCCGTGTTGACCACACGGCGTACCACCTTTCTGATCACCTGTAGGGGGCAGAAGCACGTCAGGGGGGAAGGAGGTGGGGGAGGGAAGCAGGAAAGCATTTTGTGAGGAGAAAAAATTGGAAAGGATGGTGAAAAGGATTCTTAATAGTGTGTGTGTGTGTGTGTATATGAGATGCCATGTGATGTGTATTTGTGTGTTACTGTGTGAAAGAGTGTGTTAATACTTCTGTGTCAGTCAGCATCCTCGTGAGACTGGTTTCAGCTGACAGATTTTAAACTACTTCAAAAAGCTCGCCCCCTTTTCCATTGAAATATTACTAGGGAAACACTGGTGTTTGTGTGTGTGTGTGTGTAAGCTGTGGGATAAAGATGCGACAGGTAATGGAGGGGGAGGAGGATGGTTACTTTTCTGGTGACCAGATTCCCGTCTTCATCTGTGTACTGCTCCTCCGTCACAGACTCTCCAGGAATGTTTTTGGCCTCCTCTCCCTGAGGTGAAGGTTTAAAGGACGAGTGAGATGGAGGAGTGAGAGATGCGGGGGGTGGGAAGGATGGAGGGGTGTAGGTACAGTTTGGGAAGAGGGTTGAGAGGTTATCTGTAAGACTGTTATTCATCTGGTTATTCAGAAAATAGATAACATTTCCAACAGACGTCAGCCTGCCTGCCACAGCCGATGGGTTTCCTACTATTAAAATTATGAATAAAGACTTGAAAATTGCACTGCAGAATTTCTCTGATGTGGTGCAAAACCAGGATTAATGGTAATGAAGCCTGAAGAAGTTTAAGTTTTTTTAACTGCCGTTTCATTAGTACAAATGAATCTATTGATAGATTAAAACTTAACTAAATAAACTAAAATCGTTGATGTGTTCATCTGTGATGCAGCATGAAACATGACTTCTGTGGTTGTTCTGCAGACATGGGAAAGTTTTGCTCACTGACATTTAGCATTTTGGCAGGGTAATACTGTTTGGGACAATGTAGGAACCCAACTGATGCTAATGCATCAGACAGGCTGACTCAACATGTAAATATGGCTTTGTAACACAAACGGTGGTTTATTATTTTACCTGGGTTTATCATTGAGGTGTTAAACCAATTTTTTTATTAATATACTGTAAATTGATATCAATCACTGCAAAAGCCCAACGGCTTCAAGAGGATGCAGAACCCCCCCAAACTCACAAACACACACAAATGTATTAACATCGTCAGCTCATAAATGAGGCTCCATTTACACAGAGAAAGATCGTATGTAGTTTAGAGCTGCAATGATTGACAAAAGAAAATTAATCAGCAACAATTTTGATAATTGGTTAATCAGTTTGAGTCTGTCTTTTAGAGAAAATGCCCAAATTCTCTGGTTCAAGCTTATTAACTGTTAGTATTTCCTGCTTTCATTAGTCCTCTCCAATTATAAACTGAATATCTTTTGGGACTGTTAGTCTCTGCTCGTAATTAAAATGTTAGTACATTACAATTGAAGCATCTAGTTGATGCTGTTATCCAGTTTGAATAAAGAGCAAAGATTGAAGGAGGTTCAGTGACTTGCTCGAGGACATTGGGGTTGGAAACATAATTGACACATTGTCTGTTGTGGGAACAGTAACTGCCACCATAGTTCTCCCACCCATCAGAAGGGTGTTGAACATAGTAATCAGATATTCTGCTCCTGTGGAAATCCAGCCTCAGAATAATGCCTACAAATAGAATATTACTATACTATGAGCCAAACACGCAGCACAGCCAGCAGTCCACTGACCAGGTAGCAATGCCAAACAGCATGGCTTGTTGGTGTGAGAGCTCACGCCAACGAGCACTTCATGCTATAGCAAGGTTAAACATACACACACACACTGACTGCCTCTCACACTCACACACACACACACACACACACACACACACACCTTTGCAACTATAGTCAAGTTTCCATCCAAATGTATTGCAATTTTTGACAGAATTTCCAGAAAATTCAGGTTGATTCAAATAAACAGTTGTTGCCGCTGATTTTACTTTTACGGACCATTAAACCAATCCAAAGGAGGAGGGTGCAGCAAGATGACGCACCAGTCAAATCTCATGTGGAAAAACATGTAGAAAATGTATGTAAATGTGGCATTTATTTATGTTTCATGCATTTTGTTTCTTATCTGCTGCTAGTTTTCTTCTCCTTAGTGGACATTTACATCACAATTTATTCACTTAGTCTGTTTTCATTGCACTTTATTGCATTGTGCTTATTTCAATAGGCAAACTCTTCCACCTCAGCCAAGCATAAAACATTTTTTGTGATGATACCTTTTTATTTCTTAAGTTTTTCCACTCAGGTTTCAATAAGCGCAAATTATAAATTGGCATAAAAGCCAGACAGCTGGATGGAAACTCACTTTATGATACACTCTCTTTCTATCACATTGTCTTACTTGAAAAATCTATCGCTGCACACAAAAACACTCCCAATGTGAACAAACATATAAAGAAACACACTCTCCTACTTAACTCTGTAGAACACACAAATGCTGTCAAACGCAAACCAGCACAGCACAAAACTTTTGTTCACAATCTTTTTTGTCTATTTCGCTCTTCTTCGCAAACTTGGAAGTCACAGAGCTTATGCAAGTTTACTCTGCCTCGAGCTGTCCACACACATCAGGCCTCACACACCTTGAGTATGACTCTTCTGCGGTACACCCTGGTGGTGACAGTGGTCTCGTCATCAGAGCTGGACTCGTCAGCTCTAACACTCCCCTGACAAAGGCAGCCCAGTAGCAGTTTAACATTAATGACCCCAGTGTGTGTAAGTGTGTCTTCAGTTTATGATGTTGTGGGATAATTTAAATGGTTAAAGTTAATTAAAAAATGAAATGCTGGATCAATTTTGTCACTAAAATTAATATAAAAGAACGATTTCAGGGTGTAGGTTTACAATCCTGGGCTGGGCTTACAGTTCAAACAATTTTAAACCCACTTAAACTTAATATACGGCTTTGAAAGCAGTAAATAACAGTACACAAGGACTTCTTAAATTATAAAAAAAAAAAACATTGAAGTAAAAAACTGGGTAATTAAATACAAAAATGTACGCTCTCACCTGGACTTTGTGCTGGGACCTTTCACCTCCCTCCTCCCGTCTTCTGCTTGGTCCCGCTGTGCTGCTGTCCTCCTGAGATCCCTTCCTCTTGGCCTCTGAATCTTTTCGTTCCCTGGCTGTGTCACTGTGACCTCCATTCTGTCTATTGGTCTGAGCCGGGGGCTGCTCCAATGAATCAGCCAGACTGTCGGGGCTGGGGAGGGAAATATGTTGGGAGATCATTTGAGATCCTATCACTGAAGTGCTGGACTGACAGAAAACATTGGTGTGTAAATATGTAAACAGAAAAATGGTAAGAAAAGGGTCCTCCTCACCTGCCCTCCTCAGTGCCGGGGCTGCGGCCAGGGGCTGCTGACTCTACGATTGCATCGGACGTCTCACTTCTCCAGCCTGGAACTGAACACATTTCTTTTTCTGCTTGCCGTACTTGTTCGAGAATTGCATTCACCCTCTCTTCTGTCATCTCCTCGTCCTCCAAGCCTCCCTCCAGCTTTATATCCTCCAGCAGACTCTGCAGCCTCTCCTGGCTCATCTCCTCCTCTTCTTCTTCTTCTTCCTGCCTTCCATTTCCATGACCAGTGTCTAAGGCGGCATCCTCTTTTTGGTTTCCTCCCTGACGCTCTAAAACAACTCCGTGCCCTGCCATAAGTTCTTTCTCAAAGGCCTCAGCATGCCTGTCTGTTCCCTTTCCTGATTGCTCTACTGCCCTTCTGTCATTATCCGGCCTCTCATAAGAAACAAGCCCTGTCTTTTCTTCCACAGACATCTCTCTTTCTCCTGTGGTCAAGGTTGTATCTTCGGCCCCAACAATGGGGGGCTGTGGGGCATTGGAGCTGGGGCCTGGGGCGACTGTGAGGGGGTCACTGCTGGAGGTACTGGTGGTCTGAGTGAGAGAGAGGTCGCTAGGTCTACTAAGCATGGTCTTGCTAGGGAAGTCTGCGCTAGCATCGCCCTCGCTAAAGAAGTCGTCTGAGCGCAGCGGGGTGGGGGGCACGAAGTTCAGGGTTGAGGGGGTTTGCAGCTCCAGATCTATATTGTCGTATCCTGGGTGGATGGCAGGAGTAAAGGATTAGAGGGTGAGGGGATTGAAGAGGGAGGGAAAGAAAGAAGAGGGGAGGAAAGGAGGGAGGGAAGGGGAGGTAGAGTGGTGAAGGTGATGAAATGAGAAACATATCTAAATCTAAAGGTAGCATCTGTTCAAAAGTCACACAGGTGTAACCAAAATACACTTTAAAGCTGCATTAACTGATTTTTTTTGGGCCACTTGGGGGTAGCAGAACACGCTTTAAACACAACATTAACACTTTTTAAAGCTGTTATGATGAACATGCTAGCACACTGTTACCTATTTACACTTCCAGACGACACAGGAGCAACATTATCATTCATTTGGAGTCATGTGTGCTTCCACCTGATGAATGTAAGGGGCCAAAAACAAACCAAAAAGCAGTTAAAAGGTTTTGCAGAGGTGGGGGGAACGGCAGAGTAGGTCATTCCTCTCTGTGGACCTGTCACATATGTGAAAAACCTCTGATAAATCCACTGTACGCTAACCAAATGACACAGTCAGGGACTATCTAGTGTACATTTAGCAGCTAAAAAGCCAGATATATTCCCTAAGGAGTTTGTGGAGGCCATAAACAGAGCTAAAAGAGAGTGAATGTAGGACTTACACAAGCCATAAACATGACATTTTGCTAACATGGTCACCGTGTCAGCTTTGTTCTGTTTATAACTTGGTCTGCTGCCCAAGTGGCCAACAAATAAATTAATACTGATATAAAAATTCTCCCTAAACAAACACATTTCTCAAACACGTGGGGACTCGTGTGTGACTTCTGGACCAGCACTACAGAGTAAGACACATGACCACATCACAAAGAGATGGAAACAGAATATAAAGACAGAATATAAAATGTAAGATAGAAACTGCACATGCACTGTTTTTATATAAACTTTACATGAACATTCAGTCACACTAATGTCATTTGCAGAGTTCCTCAGGAACTGTTGTACTTTCTGATTAGGTTTCAAACTGGCACTTAAGTCAGCCACACCTTTTGTAAAAGCACTTAACTTCAGACCCCACCTCAGATTCAGAGCTACTGATTTCAATTGAAATTCAACAATAGTAATAGAGGGGGTCTTCATTATAGCACTTTAAAACAAGCACAACATCAGCTCATTGTCTCACTAATTATGTCAATTTAAGAGTATGAGCAAAAGCTTGAGTATAATTCAGGTAGGTTAGTTGTGTTGATTTTAACAAAAGGCAGAGAGGAGCAGAGCAACAAACAAGCTACATCTAAATGTAAACCTCAGGAACAGAAAGATCCCGTCTGAAGTAAGAAGGGACACCAGGGGGGAGGGGAGAGAGTGGAGGGGAGGTAGGAAGCACAGAGGGAGAAGGAGAGCGATGATTTAGCGGAGGAGAGGGGGAACAGTGAGGTGGGGGAGAAGGAAATGAATTTGAAGGAAGGGGAAAAGATGAAGGGGAAGAAAAGGTTGGAAGTGTAGTAGTAGGAGGAAGTAGAGGAGGAGAGGAGGTAAAAGAAGAGGGAGAAGGGAAAGGAGAAGATAGGGAAAGATGAACAGGAGAAGGTGACAGGAAAGAAGTAGATGGAAAGGAGGGAGAGGAAGGGCTAGACGTGGAGAGGGAGGTACAAGAAGGAGTAGGAGAGGGAAGAGGGGGAGATGGTTTAACAGGTGTAGGAGAGGTGGGACAGGGAGGAGCATGAAGAACAAGAGAAGAAAGACAGGAGGAAGATGGAGACGAGGGCAGACAGAGGGCAGATGGAGGGAGGCGACGAGGAATATAGGGAGGTGGAGAGAAGAATGAGGAGCAGCCAAGCGGGCTTCGGGGTGAGGAGGGAAGAGACGAGGAGTGAGGCAGAGCGACAAAGTGAGGGAGAACAGGAGCGACAGGCAGGAAGTAAACAGGAGGTGTGGATGGGGGAGATGGGAAGTGAAAGACAGAAGAGGAAGAAGGGACAGCAGAAGGGGAGGGGAAAGAAGGAGAGGTGACATGGATGGAATGAAAGTGAGGAGAGGAAGAGGAGATGGAGGTAGAGGAGGAAGGAGTATTATGGAGAGGAGCGACAGGCTGAGATGTTTGAGGACACGGGAGGAATGTAGGAGACCGAAGAAGTTTTGGAGCTATTATAATAATCACAGTTCACAAGAGACAAAAAAACAAACATAGAATAACTGTTAGACAAGACTTGGATGAAAAGACAAACAGCATATAAAAAACGAAACACAGACAGTGAACTTGTGATTGATGAAGGCTTAATGTTTTAGAAGCTGCAGAAGCAAAGATATTGCACACCAGAGTCATGGGATTGCTTATCTCGGTTGATAAGCAAGAATAAGCTTCTTAGTCAACAGCAGTAGCATCTTTTGAAACGGCAAAGAAAAAAACAGTAGAGGACAGTGTAAAAAAGCAAGGAAAATTCCCATTCTGGCTTTGTCTTGCACAAGGACAGATTTTGGGATCTAGGAGGTTTAAAATTTGTTGAGCTACAAATTCATTTTCAAAGAGGAACTAAGAAGAAGCAGGATGGGATCTGCGAATGCGGAAAGGCCGCGTCGCACACAGGATTTTATTACTACTGAGGTCATTAGAACAAATTTCCCCAGGGCAACCCCCACTCTGTTAAATGTTTGTGGCTGGGGTCCAAACAGCTGCTGTGGCCCAATTCCAGCAGCTCCCATATTCCCCTTGTGAATTGCATTGTGGGAGTTGTGTGTATACTTAATTTAGTCACTTGTAAACTCCCTTTCTTGGGCCATTAAAACCACCATATTCTCAAAAGTAATATTGACATGACCTTGGTGTCCCCATCAATCAATTACAGTCCTGTTGGGGTCATATGGTGGAGGGTATGCTAATGCTAAAGCCTGGTGGTTAGCTGTAGATGTCGTCAAGTCAATGTAGAGGTAGGGTAGCAGATATCTGAAGCTCTTGCCAAAGACACTTGGTATTGCTAGCTACATGACTTGTGGAGTTGTTAGTGCCAACACAAGCGGCACTGTTGCATTACCAGTCTTACTCTTAGTAAGCCTGAGTTCAGCAGTGAAGGTAAAAGCAGAAGCTATGACTGAATCCAGAAGCTGTTGAAGTTAGTAAAAGGTAGCCTTTGGTGGGAAATAGCTGGTTAGTGGTGCTTAGTGCTGACAAGGGAATTTGCTGTAGGAGTTAGTCACTCTGAAGCAAGAAGAGGAGAGAGGAGGAGGCGGAGGCGGGCAGTCTGCTGGTCTCAAAGCGGGAGAAGCTACAGCGGAGAGTAGAGGCTGGGAGGCTCGGAGGAACCCAAGGAGATGACAGTTACAGTACAGCTAACAACAGTGACACAGAAGCATAATTATACACTGTACACTTTGGAAAAAGGTGTTTCATTTTCAACCCATCTGTGAGTGTCATCTGGGACAGAGCACAACCTTTGCAAAAACACTCATGTGCGTGTGTTGAAAAGGCTCCACCCATTTGAAGAGTGTTAAAAGTGTATTGTTGTAAGCCAACAACATCGGAGCAGGCAGCCTCTCACACAAAGCCATGCATTTTGTTTTTTTTATCTGTGACACACTTTAAATCATCTTTGCAGATCACATGTTATTTCAAACAACAGTAACACTGACTGTTGTGTTAAGATGACTTTCAGAAACCTAATTGGACAGATTGGCAATGAGGCCCATTTCAGAAGTTTGTCTCAAAGTGTGCCGGTCTAACACCTGCTAGTTCTGTAGGTTCATCTTCTAATTACTAAAGAATGCTGATTTGACAGGGAGTCATTTTCTTGTTTCATTGACAAGCAAAGTGGGAACAACTCTGAAAAAATGTTTTGTTATATACTGGTTGGATACCTTTCTTAAATTATATGATGGGATGCATATACAGACCAAATGATAGTGTTTAAAATCAGTTGATGCAGCAGTGGAAGAAGTATTCAAATCCTTTACTTGAGTAAAAATAGCAATGCATTAATATAAAAATACTTAATTACAAGTTTAAGTCTTGCATTCAAATAGAGAAGTATTATATGATATATTATAACAGCAACCTAAAGTAACAAAATTAGTTGAATGGTACTCATTATGCAGCCGGATGGTCTCTTCCATTATTATATTATTATATATTAGTTGATTTTTATTACTGATAATACTGATAAAAATGTAAGAAGCATTTCAATATAGTTGTTCGAGGTTGAGCAATGTTGTGTTTTTGACGATGCAATTATCCACCTGTGAGTAGGTGTTTTTTTTAAACAATATTTTTATTGAGTTTTTGTTTGCCTACACAAACAGAAGTACATTGCACATTAACTTACAGTTTTACAAAATAGAAATGTGAAAAAACAGAGGGAAAAGAAAAGGTTACTTTTTGTTTATATATAGACGCTTTAATCGGACGCGTTGCCAATGTGATGCGCCTGGCCTGACAGGTCGGTAGAAAAACAGGTCTGCTAGTGTGACCTTATCACATCTCAGTTTGGCCAAGTAACGTTTCTTTTCTTCGACTGGTAGCTAAGGTTATTTACTTGTTATGGATTGCTTGCGGAAGTCTGCCTGAAGTTAAGTTTGGGCCAGAGTAATGCACATGCGCAGTACCGTTTGTTTATGTTGTTACCGTTGAAAGCCTCTATAGGGTTATGAGAAATGTTTTATCATACTTCCAGAGTGATTAAAAAGGTTTCTAAACGTATATTATTTTATTTTATAATCAGCTGTCATCAAAGTTCTGAAATGTCCCTCAGTGGGTCTGTCAGAGTCAGAGAACACTGGTAACTGCACATTTCATTTTCATTAAGAGGAGAGAGAGAAAGTTAGAAAGAGAGAGAGACTTGCGATAATGCTTAAAGCAAGCATGCCAGTATTACAATTGGTTGTTATAATTATGTTTTTATGTATTTTCTAATAGCATATGACACAAAACTGACAAAACGAGATGTGTTGGGTATCAGTTACAATTCTTAACTTGTAACATACACATAAACATAACTATTGTTGAACCAAATTATGAACTAGTGCTCTAACCCATCGGCAAATGTGCCTTAATTATTATCTTATCAACAGGTTTATCTGATACATTTATCAGGTGGGACAGAGACACCAATTCATTTAGTGGCTTACATTTGCTTCAAGATCATGCTTTTGAACAGTTTATAAAACACACACTAAAACGTGTCATGCACCCAAATTGGTACAGGTTTTAAATAAGTTTATTGTTTTATTAATCACCCAAAAATCTATCACTTGCCATTAACATTCCAATGACTGAGTGCTACAAATGATTTGTACTGCCCAGTGTTGGAAAACTAACGCTGGCTGGGGTGACTGCTTAAAAACGACTGATGCTATTTTTACCTGATGGTCCATTAACTGACATGAGCTCAATGAACCCGCTGGGGCATTAAGTCATTTTGGTTACATTCTAATTAACGTTTTTTGGTCAAGCCTGATTGGTTCTGTATTGGTTTACACAGTCAGGTCTGACTATCTGGCTGAGAGAGGAGGTGAAGAAGGGTGAAGGGAAAGACTGAGAGATAGACTGAGAGTTCAGCTAGGGTGGGCTACACTTTACCATCGGACTGATCCGGGAATACTGCGTTATCATCGGCAAAGCAGCGTGTGCCTGAAATGTTACCGTAGTCAAATATGGGCCCTTCCAGCAAAGTCACAATATCCAACCGATTGATCTTAGTCAGCACCGCAGTTAAAGCATCCGCTAGAGAGGAGAGAGAGAGGCAAAAAAATCATATTTACACTAACTTTGAGTTATATCGATTTACTTTCTTCATAAACTTGAAACTGAAGTATGTATTTTGGTATATGAGAATGTCAGCTTGGAGAAGAAGAGCTGGATAAAAGCTATAAGGTCATATCTGTTTCTCTCTGTCACATACAGCACAGGCAAACACCAACACACACTGCTTACTTGTGGCATTTTTACCGTCCCTGTGCACCCATTTCTTTAGGAGCGTGAAGCTCTGTGCTGTCAGGGAATTTGGGTTCTCCACTCTGATGAAGTTGATCTCGTCCACAGAGAATTCCAGCTCCCTGGCCAGCTCTGTAACAGCAACAAACACCACAAAAAATCCCACTTTTCTTGAGAAAATAAAAACATAAAGATGCAGTACTTTGTTGCTCAACGGGTCGGCATTGGCACTAACATTGCAAGGCACAAGAGTCTCATTTCTCTGGAGGTAACCTGTGCTAAAAATGTCTGCACTGCCAAAGAGGCACTGTGATTTATCATCCATTAGTCCTGCGTTAGTCAGTGGCTGAAAAAAATCACAACATTGCGCAAGGGAGTGACACTTCAAAATGCTTCCGGAGATGCCGAAACTCAGTCGTCTTAGATAAATTAGTTATCTGATGAGCTGCTGACTGATAGATCATATGTAGTGTAAACAAACTGATACCACTGGCTATAAAACCACGAGAACATAATGTTCAGCAGATATACTACACTGCAGCTCTGCAACAGTAGCACAAATTAAAAATGGATTAGATTTCCTTTCTCTCACACTCACTCAGTCACTGCAGAGGACAGACAGGCATCCAACTACAACTGTCCACACTCATGCACACTTTCAGATGGACACCCCTGTACACACATTTATGCTGTACTCACACAGAAACACACACACACACGGTGACGCCCACTCACACACATGCAAGCAGGCAGGCGTGGGGCAGTGCTGCAGTGCAGGTGGTCAGGCTTGAACTAAACCGCAGAGGCCACACCCTTATCACTGCTCAAGTACAATACATAAAATCCTCTTACTGTTCCTCTTTCACCCACTCAAACACAAAGATACATGACAAGGAAGAATTTCAATACATTGCTATAAAATCTTTTTTGGAATTAAAATTAATACAATCATTACTGTGTATATTTTTCAGCCCCACAAACTCCTAATGTGTGTCATTATGTTTAAATTTTACCAATAAAATTGGAAAATTACAATGCAATCCAAGTTTAGAGAATTTTCCTACTTTAATGTTGTATCATATGTTTAGTGGTGATGGTGTGTGCACATCAATGCCACTGCAGTGCTGCTCAGTAAAGACATTTTTATACTATATGTCCACCAGATGGCAACAAACACTGTAAAACTAAGATCTGGGCTCAGTCCAGCTCATTCAGTCACGTGGGCGCTCTTTTATAAAACATATACCGAATCCTCTTTGTTGCAAAAGGGGTATTACATATAATGTTTATCAGTGAATACGTTTAATATTATCCCAAGTGCATGAGTCTGTGGCTGAATGCTAAACTGAGTGAGATGAAACCTATTTAACTCCAACATTTCAGCGGTGTCTCCATGTCGTATCAATTAACATAATAAAGACAGTATTATGGCATCGCGTCATGCTTGTTTTTGAGTGAAAAAGTGAGACATGTGTAGACTCACCAGTCCAGCTGAGTCCGAGGTGGTCGGCTACTATTGCCATGCGGAGGTCTGTTCTCTCACAGGGACTCTGAGGGCCTGTGCAAGTAAGCAGGGAAGGGCAGGACACAACCAATTAACTTGCAATATTATGACAACAATCCCCAAATTAATTGAATGGAATTCTCAGTAAGAGATATACAAAAGGGCTCCTATAAAATGGCCGCAGAGGGGATCGATGACATTTAATGAAAGAAACAGATTGGGATTGTGAACTGAAAGTTTGTCTGTTTCAGACTGTAGACATTAATGTGGTTGAATACGTACTTAATTACAGAGTTGTGTCTGTTTTTTTGCCATTTTCTGATGTGATATTCATTTTAAACCATGTAGTGTTGACGACTGAACAAACATAACGACTAACTTTAGCTCACTGTCCCAGGTCTCACCTCTGAAAAAAAAAAAAGAATAGTTTTTCTGGCCAGACTCTCCTCAATGATTCAGTTTGGATAATGTATGCTAGTTCGACATTTAGAGACATACACTTCACTGTCATGCTGAGAATATAAAGCTGGAGCCAGAAGACGGTTAGCATAAACACTGGCATAAAGACTGGCATAAATTTTGCAGTTTAGAGAAGTTGTGTTTTATACAAAAACGTTTGTTGGATAATTTCTTAGCCAGGTGTAGTGTGCCTGATGAATTAGTGTATTTCTCAAAATGTCAAACTATTCCTTTAAGTTTTACAATGAACTGTCCATAGGCCTATATTCTATTTATTTTATCTTAATTATGAAGCCTTGTGAAATGCAGGTATGTCCTCTGGAAGGAACATAACAGAGTAATGTACTGTAATAGTGGAACTTTCCATACCATCTTTACTAGATTAGCTTTCATACTCTGGCTAACAAGGACAACTAAGTAAACATGACATATCAATCTAATTAAATTAGACTAGCAATATTAAAAGATCATTAGGGAGACATCTGATAATACTAAATTAAATCTAAAGAATGAGGATCTGTGTGGCCAGAAAAGGAAAAACACAAACCACAATTTCACACTAAAATGTTTTATGTTCAGTATATTAGTAGTTAGGGTTTAAAGAGTTTTATATCACATCACTAACAACAAACAATCTACCATCAGGCAACATTTCCTCTCACTGATAAAAGCAACCAATGGCTTTAATTTGAAATCTTCACACTTGTGCAGCTGACATTCATCTGATTGTCAAATTCAGCCAGTGAGTTGTTTTCACAGTGTTTAGAGAGAGCAGAAATACCACCAAATAATATCTACAAACCCAGCAAGCAGACCAAAACAAACACAAGGTCTTATCTCCCCAAACATCTGATTTTCCATCATGTCACGGGTAGAAGTGAGTGGTGTGGTGTCATGTGATGAGGTGCAAGGCTAACTTAATCTGTAGTGCGAGATGAAAGTCAGAATGTGTGTGATAGCCTGGACGACCCCACAGTAATGGAAAGGAATGCATACTCACTCCATACCCTCAAGTGTGCTTACTTGCAATCCACTACTGATAATAAACAGCATTTGCTGATGTGGAAATTGTTGTTCCTGTACCTTCCTTGCACCAAAGATATCCCTATAGTCTGTTCTAAAGCTCTCACTAGCAATGAGACAATTAATCCCCTGTCGTTGCACATTTATAGACACGCCTTTCCTTGAGAGAAATTATTCTTTAAACGTCAAACGGTTCACTATTTAGGCAAAATAAAATTTCTTGCTTGATCCAGGGATAAATTTTGAGTATTGCTGATTCTGTCATCGATTAGCCTTTACCTCTTTGTCTAAATCACACAGCACAGGACACAGATAACACGAATGACAGGAAGAAGAAGTGACACTTAAAACGTCACATCACAAAGCATCCACAACAGCTACATGCATCTCATAGAGGAAAGATAAAGTAGAACAAGTGTTTAGAAAGAGTTTACAAACTAGTCTCGTTCTCTGTGACAGGAGCCGTGATTGGTTGATCAACCTGACTCCCTTCCTCCTTCTCCTCCTGCTCCTTCCCTCCAAGTGTCCGCCTACTCTTCCTCCTGCTCCTCCTCATCCTCTCACTGCTGGCCTGCTCAACCTCAGCTCTCACATCTCTAGCAGATGGTGTTGATGTGGTGGTGGTGCTGGTGGAGGTGGAGGTGGAGGTGGAGGTAGAGGTGCGTGAAGGGCGGGAACTTCTAGAAGCTCTAGATGGCTCTGACAAGGAAGTGTTCCTGGTAGTGCTGAGGCTGCAGCTCTCTTCATCCTCAGTGGGCAGTGTTTTCCCCTCTAACTTTGTTTCAACCTCCTTGGGAATGGTTTGGTCCAAAAGGTTTGCTGCCTGGCTATTGGCAGACCTTGTTTTAAAGTTTTGTGAGACCACTGGGCTGTTTTTTCTCCCCGTTGTATTTGTGCCACACCTACCTGGGGTTTTCACTAATCTGTGTTCAATACTGGATTTGCCTTTAGTTAGTCGTTTATGACCCCTGGTGGTTTTAATGCTTCTGTCACTAACCACAGATTTGGTTCCAACCTGCTTCTGCTCTCTGGAACAAGAGGAGTATTTCATTGCTTTCATCATTGGGATTCTAGATTTAGGAAATACATTCTCAAAAGGGTCTAATCTTTCCCTGACATAATGCATTGCATGCTTCCTGATTAAAAATATTTCTTGTACCTTGTCTTTCACTATTGGTTGATGTTGACTGCATAGTTTTTGGCTAGGTACCCTCACTGGTAACCTGGACTTGCATATCTTGCCTTTGACCTCTTTGGCTCCTGTGTTTGTTATTGCTACATTAGTAAAAGCCCTGCATTCCCTGCTGTTCTCCTCTAGCTGACTGAAGGATGCTTCTATTCTGCTGACCTCCTGCAATGGAGAGGGTCCCGAAGAGGACAACAAGTTGAACACAATACTGCCAGTCTGATTGACATCATAATGAACATAATGGGAGTCAGGGATATTGCTGGTATTGCTGCTCCATGCTTGGGGATTGCTAATCTGTTGTGAAGGTGCGCATGAAGAATTTGTGCTTTGGTAATAACACTTCTGATTTTCTGAGGTCCAATCCAAAGGGTCACTCTGTTTGGATGTACCTGAATGAATTCTATGATTTGAATGATAATCTGTAATGCCTGATGGTCTTATATTCATATAGTTATCACACGTGCCTGATGTATTAAAATAAAAATGATCTGTATGGTTTGAGGTTACAGAAAAAGAACTATCTACAGTTGTTCCTGAGGTTACGTCATTTGAACAATCAAAGATGCCTGGTATTCTACATTCAGAACTGCCATTTGAAGCATCTGAGGTTTTACCAGATGACAACTTGAATCCTGCTCTAAAAGTGGAGAATTTAGGCTCGGTGTTGTAAGCTGAGTTTCTGCATGTGCTGTAACTGCCAGTTGCATTTGATATTTCTAGCTGGACAGTAGTAGTCTGAATGGAGACTTGAGGGACTATTAAGGTGTCTTTGGGATCCTGAGTATTAAACTGATCCCTGTATTGTGAGGTGGCATCTACCTGTGGGTCCCTGACCCTGTACCTGCCCGCTGAGTAGTAATGCTCACCAATCTGAAAAAACTGGAGCCTCTCCTCCACCATGTCCCTCTTGCTCATGTCAATCGCACCACTGCGTGTCATCTCAAACATCTTCCCTTCATGGAAGGGGAATGGGTTTGGCTCGCTCGTCGGTGTGCTATCATCCGTTGGTGTTCGGGCTGGGGTAGTGTCTGGTGTTGTGGCCTGAGACTGGTCATCCACTGCCAGTCCAAAAGGCTTAGGCTCACCATTGCTTCCCCGTGTCTCTCCCATATCAACGACTTCTTCTTCTCCACCTTTACTGGGCCAGGGGTCAAAGTCCAGCCCTTTAGTGGCAACAGTCTTAAAAGGAGAGTTAAATTCCTCTTCCAATTTATAACTAAAGTAAGTGTCTGAAAATCCCTCTTTATCGGAGTGTTTTTGTTCTTGACTTTTAACCCCATCTGTTTTTTCGCCATTTGAGGGGGTATCTTTATTGAAAGTGTCCTTTTGATATTCCTCTGGGGTTTTCTCCTCTTCAATAACTTCCAGTTTGGTTGGGGGAAAAGATCGGTCAGTGGACCTAAAAGTGTCTGTTGCCCAGACGTCTCTCCGGCTGTCTGGAAGACCAAACAGCCGTAAATCTGCCTGCTCGCACAGGCCATCATCCTCATCCTGAAGTTCATATCCATCTAGTGAGTCTATCTCTGTCGCATCTGTGTCATGAGAAAATTCAGCCGTTGTGGCTATTGAACAGTCTGTTATTGACTGGTCATTTCCATTTTGTTCATATTCACAGTCATCTCCTTTGCCATTAGAACCTTTAGAACCATTAGATCCATTGGTCCCACCTTGAGGTTCTTTATTGTTTCCATTTTTGTCATGTTTTTTGGATTTAGATGCTTTTTCCATCTTCTTCTTCTCCTCCTCCTCCTCCTCAAGAAATGTTAATTTCTTACAAGGTATTGGTTGGAAGATTGATTCATCCTCCTCTTCATCATTTGATTGACTGTCATCTCCCCCAGGGAGCACCGGGGTAGGGGGTTGGATACGTATAATTGGCTCGGTCAGCAGATGCTTGTCATGTTCTTCCTGTAAGTTCACCTCCATCATTTCTGTCTCAGTCTCTGAAGAGGCACAGGAACCTTTCCTTTCTGGGTCTGAAATTTCTGAAACCGAGTCCAGAGGAGGAGGGGGAGGGAACTCAATATATGCAATACCTTTGTCTTTTGAGACTTCTTGCTGCTCTTGCCCTGTCATTTCATCATGCCTGCTATTGCCTGTTGTTTCTTGCTGGTTGAAATTATTACTTAATTCCTGCTGGTTATCATTCAGTTTTGTTTCTTCCTTATTAGCATTAGCAAGGTCTGCTTGAGTGGCGTGAAAACTACTTTTACTTTCTGGTAGGGCCTCTTTAAAAGAGAAAACAACTTTGCCTTGGTCATCTCCCTCTGATTCTTCAGACACCTCCATAATGGGACTGGGTTTCCCTGACATGAATCCCATAAAGCCATCAGGTGTCCTGGTTGTAAGGTCATAGCTGACCTCCTCAGAGCTGGGGGTCTCT